GGAGGAGGAGGAGGAGGAGGAGGAGGAGGAGGAGGGAAATGAGCAGAAGTTAGAGGAGATGAAGAGAATGATGATGATTAAAAAAAGAAAGTTAATGACAGAAATGGAACTCACAAGCAACAGTGAGTTCTATCCACAAGCCAAATCAAACATCAAAAGGCTACTAGAACACCTTTGACAAGGATGCATTTGACCAAGCACAGCCTCTGAGGTTCCCTTTCTTCCCAGTGGATGAGATGCTGGTCAGCAGCTTATAGAGATGAGAAATCTGATAGACCTAGGGCAAAAAGTAGGAGATTGATTTCTTTACTGTTTTCATTGCCCAGAAACAGCTTATCCTATCATGTAAGGTAACAAATCACACAACTCAACAATTCTGATATCCAGGTCTTTGCCTAAGTTCTGATCCAGAGATTTATTTGACACAATTGTGTACCTTATTTTATTTTGTGCCTAGATTATAGAAGTTTTCCATTTATGTACATTGAGTGGATCCCCATAAACAGGTCTGCCACTGTCTATTTTATACAATTAATGTGTGAAATTTGTAGTATATAATTCAACTTATATAAAATAAAAAGAATATTTTTCCATAATCCATGTGAAATTTATCCTTTGAAATTCTAAGGAATATGTCCCTGGCTGCCCTAGAGATGTATGTTGGAGCACAGGACACTGTTATCCATGCTACCATTCCTATAGTCTGTCATTTATAGGTTTAATTCCCATGATGAAAACATTTACCAAAGTCCATAGAGAAAGGAAATCCTTCCTTTCCGTTTTTTTTTTTTTTTTTTTTGGAGGGGGGAGGAAGAATCAAGGGGAGTTTATTAAAATTGCAGACTTCTGGGCTCATCTCTGGAGACTGATTGATTGTGAAGGTCCAAGAGGTTGCATGCTGAGAATAACCTATAAGTGGTCTAAGGGCCACTTATAGTGGCCAACTAATCTTTTCTGGAATATTTATTAAGTAACTACTGCATGTCAGGTTAAGGTAAGTATCCATCTAACCACAGAGAAAGGAACAGGAAGTCTGTGCACTCAGGGAGTTTACACTCTAGTGAGGGGTAGAAATATCAAGAATATGACCATCAGGGACATATGAAGGTGGGTTGAGAAGATGTGGCATGAGCGTGGGTGGTTGGAAGGATTTTTCTCTGTCATTCTGGAATGACAGAAAGGAGCCAGCCTCAAACCAGGGGAAAACATCCAGGTAGATCTTCCTTTTTCCCAATCTCCCCTTAATCCAGGGTCTGATCCAAAAATGTCTAAAAGGAAACCAAGTCCAGAAGAGAGAAGCTGTTGTCTTTATTATCAAGGCTTTCAAGGTCAGGGTAGACCCGATGGAGGAGACTGCCATAGGAAGGATCTAGACGGCCCCTTTCCTCCTGGGCACAGTGCCCCAGGCTTCCTGTGGCAGGGGGCAGAGATCTGACTTACCTGCCTTTTGGGAAACATGGACCCTGCACCATCTCTCTCAAATGTCCCTAAAACCTCAGGGCAGGCCAGAAGCCAGGGCTGAGCCAACCACATGTGTGGCGATGCGTAATCCTCAAATAGGCTGCCTGGTACCACAGGGGCCTCCTGATCATCCTCTTTGATTTGTAGACCAGGTCTTTGGGGATCACAAGGGTGGGCCTAATCTTCAGGGTTATAGAGATTGTGACAACACCAAAGAGAGACTGGCCCCCATCCCAGCAGGTTGGAGAACACATTAGGAAGACATGAGAATGGGCCTCCTAGGAGGGGAAGGGAAGCCATGTGGCACAATAAGCCATGTGGCACAATAATCAGATGGGAGGTTCCAGAAGTTGTCAGGGTCACTTCTTCTCGGCACACTCTGCCGCATCCAGGGCAGCCATGTTGTGGGCAGCTGTGATCAGGTGGATGAACTGATGAGGGACTTGAGCAAAGTGATGGGGCGGTGACCCAGAGACCCATTCAGAAAAGCCCCACAGAGCCAACTAAGGGTCCCTTGGAGAAATTGAACAGGTAGAGGAGGCAGTAGAAGAACTCATTTCCAGCACATAGGGTGAACAGAGCAGGCCTGGAGGTGTAGTGGATCCGAAGCACTGGATTCCCAGAGAGGTTGATCATCTTGTGACTCAAAACTGTGGAGGTGCAGCCAGTGACTGGCCACATCCAAGCTCATGCTGAGCTGGAAGAGAAGGGTAGCTCAAGGGTACAGCAGGGCCAGGTTGACCAACAGACACATGGTAGAGCATCAGTCCGTCAGCATGTCCAACATGGCTCCAAACCGGGTTCTTTGATTGAGGGCCCAAGCAGTATGTCCATCAAAAGCATCTAGAAGTCCGCTGAGCAGATAGAAGGAGAAGGCCGTGAAGGAGCAGCAGGGCATGAAGTAGAAAGCAATGATGGTGAAGACAATCCAGACATAACTCTTCTTCGCTCCTCCTTGCAAAATTGGAGATCAGATAAAGGAGGAAGAAGCCCTTTCCCTTCCTTTTTAAAGAACCACCTTGGCCCCTAATCCCCAGAATAAGCATATGTATATTTCTGGTGGTACATTCAAAACATGCAGAATAAATTTAGTGGAGGATTGGAAAATAAAGGCTTTGTGTAGATGTCCTATTTTCTTGGCCTAGAGAAGAGAGCCGAGGTATTGCCCATAAACTTAAACCCTTTGGAATATTTTCTAGATCTCTAGCAGCTGTCATTTTAAGTGGTTCCTATTTTTTCTGACCTTACCTCTCTTTTCTTCTTCTTACAGTCTATCCCTCTGTTAAATTGGTTCTCCTTTTAAAGTCCCACTCTTCTCTTTATTTCAGAAACATGCCATCTCTTACTCTAGAATCCTTAATTTCCAAGTCTGGTCTAACCTTGTAAATTTCCTAAGCTTCATGCATTTTTTTCCAAATCTCTGACATTCTCTTGTCTGCATTTTTTGAAGTCAGGTTCTGAGCAAAGATGAGTTCCAGATCCCGTTGCTATGTGTAAATTTTAGAGGAGGCAGTCACAGTGTGTAGTAGGGAAGGCAAGCAAGATAAAGTCTGCTATTTGGTATTGTAAATTAAATTTTAATTTTCCAAAGGAACATCAGTGAATTCCAGTGATTTACTTTAGGGCAGAGGGGGTGGGAGGGAAAGTGAGGGAGCAGGGGATTAACAAGGATGGTGGAATGTGATAGACATCATCATCCAAAGTACATGTATGAAGGTATGAATTGGTGTCAACC